ATTATTTTATAGTTTCTTTTCAAATAGAAAGATTTGTGTCCAGTTTCGTCAAAATATATCAGATTTGGATGTTATTAAATGCGGAGTTCCCCATGGATCTATACTGGCTCCACATGTATATAATATATTTATGTATGATTTTCCCCACTTAGAAAGAGATTTTTGTGGGATCCTATATGCAGACGATGCCCTACTATATGCTCATGTCGAATCGCCACATATGGTAATGTGCAAAGTTAAGCATCACTTAGATAAGGTTTCGCGTTTTTATGATAGCTGGGGCATTAAAAGAAAATAAGAAATGCAAGAAGTATGTGGTTCCCGAAAGTAAAACTTTAAAGATAGCACTAAATAGTGTAGATATTTCTTTAGGTAATTCTATGAAATATTTAGGTGTTACATTCAAGAATTTATTAAAATTTAACAAACACGCTAGGCAAGTTTTGGGAAAGGCGTACGGAATTCTTAGAACTTTACTAGAATTTTGACAAATAGGGATCTTCCAATTAAGACTAAATTACTTTTATATAAAACCGGTATTTCTGTATGCGTTCCCAATATGGTTTAGCATATCCCCTGTCATCATTAGTGAAATAGAAATTTTTGAGAGGAAATTTCTTAGACATTGCATTGGCAAATACTATGAATCTAGCAACAAACGATCATGAAAATAACTATGTTTATAAAATATATGATGATCAAAGATTTTATAGCTGGGCGAATACTAATTACTTGTCTCCAATCGGATATATTAATGAAATGCCCCCGAATTTTGACATTCATACTAATATTCACCATTCATTTTATACAAAAGTTCTACCTATTACATACCGGGGTTAACATGCAGGTTGTTTGCTTGCAATAACGTTTCCTTTCGTTTGTTTTTTTTTTTTTTTTATTTATTTTAGTTTGTAAGTTTAATCGAGTTTCACACTCAAAATAAACGTATTCCCGGCAGCAAGGAATTGTAATAACACTTAATGATTTAATTACTTAATTTCCATTTTTAATCAAAAGCTTGATGCTGCATACATTTATTGTAAATTACGATCATACATTATAATCATAAGTTTTACATAATATTATTGAAGGTATGTTTTAATCATTATAATTTTTTAAAAAAAAGCTCAATAAACTAAACCTTAACCTTACTCAAAACTACATTGTTGAACTGTGTTACATTGAACTGTGTTTTTTAATTGAGAGTTTTTACCGAAAGTCGGCCTTTTTGTCCCAATTAAAACAACATATATTTTCAGAGGAACCCATACATCCTATGACATGATTCCTTCCCTATAAAGGCTCTACATTTTAAATAATCATTTATCATATAAAATGTGGAATAAGAGTGTCATTATTTTTAAAGTTTCGCACATCTCATATTTCTATTTATGTTTTAATTTTGAATTTAAATTTATGTCTGACAATGAGATGTTGTCAAATGGACAATTTAAAAAAAATAGTAAACATATGATTACATGACTTTACCTTCTTGATTCTTCCATGCTAAAACCAATCGATTTTAATTTTTATAACCGAGATAGGAAGCCAAAATTTTGCACAGATCAGTTTTTATGTGCAGGCAGCTCAAGTTCGAAGATGGGCTATATCGGTCCACGATATCGACATTGGGTATTTTGATGATTTTAGCCACATTTTCAATGGAATTGGCTAAAATCCACACAAGGAGTTCCTTTTGAGTACTTTACCACCTAAAAGAGAATTGTCTATGTAGGTCCACGATATCGTATATGCCCCATATAACAGAACCTTCCGACATTCGGTATTATGATGATTTAAGTCACATTTTTCAATGGAATTATTTGAAATTCTACACAAAGTGTTTATGTGAGTACTTTACCTTTCTGAAAGAGAGTTTTCTATATAGGTCCATGATATCGTATAACTCCCGTACAATGATGCCCCGGATATTCGGCATTTTGATGATTTTAGCCACATTTTTCAATAGAATAGTCTGAAAATGGATGATATTAGCGACAATTTTCACCGGAATTGTTTCGAATTTCGTACTCGAAGTTTCGTACTTGAATCATTACTAGAGCCTTTGTATAGCCCAAAAAAAAAAAATTATTTGAGCGGTATTTTTCGATTTTTCTTTTTTTAATTCTTCAATTTCCTTCCGAATGGTGGAGGGTATAAGTAAGGCCTGGTCGAACTTAGCTGCTTTTTTGCTTGTTTTTATTTGTATGGCTAACATGTCAAACTAATTTGTGTATGTGGCCTTTTCAATTATATTAAAATTTTTGAGAAAATATTCAAATTCAGTTGTAATCATGGTTCAATAAGAACCGTTGCTTAGCTTAGAAACTAGAAAAATGCAACTCTGCGCTGGAATTTATAGTGTCAAATAGACTTTTAAATATGCAACAGTTGGTTTTATTATTTTTGGTTTATTTATTTTTCATTTTTTTTTTTTAAACAAAATTCTTATACAATTTTTTTCTTGCAATCTCTTGCAACTCTTCTTCTTCTCATTCATCGACATTCAATCAGTTGTTTATTATTTTTGTTTATTTATTTTTTTGTGCTTTGTAATGTAATTAGAAAATAAAAGACTATATCCAATATTTTTAGACAAACGCCATTTATAAAACTTGTAGAATTGGTAGTGCTCCCTTTCTTTTAATTCTTTTAATGGGGGACAAATTGGTTTGTTTTGACAAATCAGCTGATTAGTTGCAAGCTGCTGCAATAATGCCGTCTGTTTACTTTTCGCATTTTCCTTGCAAAAGAGAATAAAACTACCTTACTCTCTCAGAAAGATGTTGCTGGACAATTCCTGCAGGAAAAGTAACCAGACACACCTATTGTTGTCTTGTTGTCTGTGTTTTTGAGTGGAAATTGTTGTCTAAAGTGCACCGTACACGGTCAAAATGAATTACATCAAAATCGTGTACGTGTGCATGAAGCATAAATTTGATTTCGTGCTGTGCAGACAATGTCGATAACGGACGATACTTTTTGGCGATATTGGCAGTGTGCTTAAAAAAGAAAGAAAATGAAAATTGTAAGAGAAATAAAAGAATCTGGTTACCACTGGAAAAAAATTCGAAAAATTGAAGAGTTTTTACTAAACTAGATTTGTTCCCAAAAAAAGAAATCAATTCACTCATGAAAATTTCTTTGTTGAATTAAGAGTGTCATCGGCAAGTTATTTCAATTTTTTTTTTTTAAGAATGGATAGTTCCACTTACGGGGAATTACTAAGCCTAACTGAGTCTCTAATTAATTTTTCGGTATTTCGACATCAATACTTCGCACTAGTTTGCTTTAATGACCTGATTGTTATATTTTTCACATTTAACATCCCAAAATGCTGCCAACGACCCGTAAACTTCCAACAACACAAAAACATTTTTGTTTTTTTTTTTCAGTATCCGACAACTCTATTCAACCATTCGCTTTGAAAAAAAAAAAGTCTCAAATAGGCATGAAATCTCCACCGCACACACGTCAAATACAAAGGTCATGCACGAGAAAAATTAAAAAATTCTGATTTTGCTTCATGAATCGTAGGTGTGACGCATACATTCAAATTTTCACTAAACTACATAATTGCATGCTATTCATTTTGACCGTGTACGGCGCATTTAAAAAGCCGATAAAAAATCTATCATCTCAAAATCGAAAGTCGATTACAATAAGTTGACTACGGTTTTCACCACAGACAAAAGTACATTAGAGGAAAAGAGATAGCCATAGCCATAAAATTTGATATAGACCAATTCAAATGAAATAGTAGACAACGAAAACTTAGTTTTGTCTTCTAATCCAGGTGGCTCTCATCATGTTTTGCGTAGTTAACATGATGATTTATGCGTTTAACCCACTCGACTCCGAAAACACATTTTATTGTTTTTCAAGATTTTCACTGGATTGTACAAATTGTTACAATTTTTTACTTTATCAAATGTGGACTTGAAGAATGTAGAAATAATCAAATGATCTGTTCCAGAACAAGAATCTACTAGTTATGCAATTTTTTCGATATCATCAAGGAAAAATCGATTATCATAATAAAAGGTTTCACATTCTTGCAGTTCTGGAACACCACAAAATATAGTGGAAGATCATGGCACAATAAAGAAGGTAAAGTCATGCAATCATATGTTTACAATTTTTTTCAAAATTATTCATTTCACAACATCTCATTTTCAAAATATTTATTTATATGGGAACCAGCAGTAAAATTTTACAAAGTAAATAACAAAAATTCTTCTTAGTTTTACCATGCAGAAGATGTATAAACTATTTTTTTTTTTTCAAATATGACTTAGACTATATTTTCTTGTTAATATCAGATTACACATCAAGTTGGTGTCATATGTAAAGTTCCACATTTATATTTAGCATTCGTATTTAACTAAAAAGAAATACTTTGTAGTATATTATTAATCAATGTGTTCATATTATAACTAAATCGGTAAAACATATATCGATATGACCCGACGCCATGATCGTAAAAATATTTTTCACAAACACCTTGCTGACGTTGACTGTATCAAAAGTCTTCATACAAGTCTAGAGTCGCTAACACTGTTATATGACAAATACTTTCTGGTAAAGCCCTCGACTAGCTTATGAGGATATGGCGTGCAGTGCTTTTATTGAAGATCGTCAAATCGCAACGTTCTCTAATTTTGAACTAAAGTGAAGAAATCGATCTGTACAAGTAGCCATTGAGATTCCTCCCGGACATAAGTGCGTCGATTAAGATTTGCCACGGGTATTTGTTACATCACAAACAAGAGGAAGTGCAATATAGCTTTACTTTCGTAAGCTTATTATTATTATTATTTTTATACTTATAGAATAATACATCTCATTTAAATATTTTCTTTTGCAAGTAATGAAACCCAACCTATTGTCAGAATTATGATTGAGAATGACAAGTTGGCAACGTGGGCAAGGGGATAACGTTGGCAACGTTGTCAACAGTGAAAAGCAAGGGGAAAGGGGGCGTTTTTAACTTGGGGCTTGTTGTCTGTCAGTCAGTTTTTTGATTGGGTGGCTGTGGGGTTCAGTTGCTGCTGTTTATTTTCGGAAAGACGACAAATTCAAAACCTTCAACATTTATCCTATAAATGACAAACGTCTTATCAACGGGAATCTTTAAGATCCATACACACATCAACTCTACGTAGAAGAAACAAACACTTGTATTTGAAATTACATCCGGAAATATTTTTTAATTAAAGCCGACATGACTGGTGACGACAAACCAATAAGAGTTGGTTCCCGAAAGAGCGAGGTAAGTTAAAACAATTTGCAATTCATCATTTGAATTCACTTCATTAATTAAAAAGTGCTTCAATTATGCATACACACACAACCCGATACGCTTTCCGTTTCTTAGGTACATTTTTCCATTTCTTAGACCATACTAAGCTTCAAGTGCTATTGTGGCTATTGTGTTACACAATCAACCATACCCGAAATGTAACCAAAATTTCAGTATTTGTTGTGTTAAGCTGTATGATTTATCAGAGAGAATGTCTAACATATAATGCAGGTTTCCAACAGTCCACTGACTTCGAAAGTCACACGCAGTTTCAATCAAGGTTTTGAAGTTTTAGATCACGACGTACCTACATTGTTGAATTGCTTTGCATACATGTATCTGTCTTGGCATGTGTAAATGTGAATGTGCGTTTGTTGAGTGGTACAACTGTTGAATCAAAATCCGGCTGAGTTCAAAGAGTAACAGGTTGGCAATCCAGTGGATAATGTAAAATGAAATAATAATAATGAATTAAAATAAATTAAAGGAAGACTGTGTAGCATCTGGGGTTTACAATGTTTACCCAAGGCATTTCCGAAATTCTTAAAATTTTGGATCGAATTGGTTCAAAATTAAATCAAGGAATATTGCTGTTCATGCGACACAGTTTCGCATTTTGTGCACAAAAACGGTCGGATACTGGTCATTTTGTTTACTTTTATAACTATAATTTGGGTTGGCGGTCGGAGGTATCCGAAAAGAATCCAATCCAATGTTTTCCCTGCTAAGCTATCTACCCCATTAACAACGTGGAAATACACAGTTTTGTAAGAGTCCTACGGATGCTCCAACATATGATATTGTTAAAATCACCCTCTCTATAAAGACGGCTGACAAGGTGTAAAGAGAACCTTCCAATTTCTTTTGAAGGGATGAGCAGGATCGATGAAATTAATTATATATTTGATAATGGAGGTATTCCACTAGCTCAATCGTCCATGAAATCTGTCTTTCTGTCGCAATCAAACTATCTTCCGTTGATATCAAACGAGCTTTTTTTAGGGGAACCTTATGTGCAGAATTGACATTTTTACCATAGGTAGTGTTAGCTGCAGGCAAGTTATACCGCCTGAGATATGAGTTTTGAAAATTTCGGAATTGTATTGATTTGGTTTAATGCTTCTAAAGAAAATTTGCTTTTAAAAGAAAATTTTCGTCGGGATTTACGACGGCAGTTACTCCAATCTTACGATGTGAAAAAAATTTGGTTCGCTCACCCAACGGATGATCAAAAGTATAGCAATACAACAAATTAAAGCTGTTTTGAAAAATAGTTAAATTATAATTCATAATAAAGAAAACAACAATTCAATGCCATAAAGCGAACAGCTTAAACTCCTCTACAACATACCCTGACCTTATCTACCAAATAATTTTATATCTAAAAACAGTTGTTCCAATAAGAAAAATGACTATAGTACCTTTATATAAAGTATGGTACCGACTACACAAAAACTTAAATATCTTTTGCATGTGCGGTGGATTTGAGTATTGTGTTTTTAAAAAAAAAACTGCCACTTTCTTCCTGGATTTTGACGATGTACGATAATTTGTACTAATATTTGTATGCTAAATGGAAATTTTTTCCCAGTACTTGGTACTGAGACGAAAAATCATTAAAATTATGAATAGCTACACCATGGTTAATATAAGGTCGGCCAGTAAGCCCATCTGACAACTATGTTTGCGATTTTTTACCTTATTTATTGTATAATAGTTTTTATCTAGCCACATTTGTCTTTAATTTGTGGTTATTAATTACAGTTTTTGCTATTTTGATGTATACCTAGCTCCTATTTAAAGAGAATGCCAGGGAAAATGGATTTATTCCAGTTTTTAATCGTTTCAAATGTAATCAAGTTATCCCACAATAATTTTGTCTTTTCATCAAGTTCGTGCTTCGAAGCTCAAATCACTCCTTTACCTTACAATTCCCCCAAAAAATATGTTTTAAATAAATCTATAAAAGTCCCTTTAATTAAGCATAAATGAAATGTGCGCATATGTGGAAGAATAAGTTAGATCTATTTCAAATTAAAATATGGTATACACAACTGCTTTTCTATAGAAAAATATAAGCTATTAGTTTGTCTTTTAATAACAATAATGTTGGTCTTTTTCTTGCAGTTGGCTCTCATCCAAACTAAACATGTCATCTCACGATTACAGAAACTTTACCCGAATAAGAAATTTGAAATACGTAAGTAATGATAAACATTTCAATATTTATACTATATTTTGATAATGAATTACGCACAACCATTGGAAGGTGTCACATGAAAAGGACGTTTGAATGTACTAATTAGACCAAAAAAGATTAAATACAAATGACAAGTCTCACGCAATAATCCATTGTTATTGATTGTCATAGTTTTTTGTTTTAATAAAGTTTGCGAAGACCAATTAAATAACAACACTTTTATGTATTTGCATAAACTTTTTATTTATGTTTACGTGTGCACCTTGATCTAAAAATGGATTACTCACGCAAAAATCCACTTTCGTGGTAGAAATTTTGAAAGCAATGTTGATAACAGATGGTCAGTATGAAAACGAGATAACAGACTATATGATAGTAACAATAATAGAATATTAAACGTAGAAAATATGCTCTCATTTGCTTTTATAAAAATATTACCTTGTTTCTTTTGTGCCCTAATGAAGTTTACGCCTTATGCGTGATGAATTTTGCGATTGTGGTCTATAATATATGAGATGCTATTGTAACGCGTTTTTAAGAACATTTTGTCCTTTTTATTTAATAATTTCAATGCACACTTCGTTTTTAACGTTCTGCCATACATTGTATGGAGGGCATACGTTTGTAACTCATAAAAATAATAATTTTAAGTCAAACCAAATTCTAAAGCGATTCAGACCCGCCCGTCTGTTGTAATCACGTTAGAGTCAGAACGAATTAAGATACGAATCTAATATTTTGCTCAGATCAGTCTTGTCTGCAAGAAGGTCAAGTTCGAATTCGGTATTTTTATGATTTTTTTAGCCATATTTTTTGTGGAATTGTCTGAAAATCCACACAAGGAGTTTCTGCTGAGTACTTTTTTGGAAACGTTTGCAATAGTTTCGTTTTGTATTTTTCGAAGTACGAAGCGAAACAAAACCGATATTAAGATAACGGGACTAGTTTCTTATTTTGTACTGTTTGTGTAGATGAGTGGAAACAATAACAAAACTTAAATTTACTTGGCTGGATGACGCAACTTTGGAAACGAAACAGTACAATATTCATTGCAAACGTTTCTGTGTATATTAACTCAAAACAAATAATGTAAAAACTAATTAAAAGTTAAATTTATTGCTTTTTATTAATTTATTTGATTATCATACAATATAAAAAGTGCAAATAGCAATATTAGGAATAACAACTCTTAATGTACCAGTAAACATTTCGTACAGCAAATGTTTCCCGGCGATTCGTTCACAAACGATACAACTCGGCAACTCACCGCCGAAGTACATTAAGGCAATCGTATTGTTTGTGTACTTCTAGCATTGAGATGTTTGTGGTTTTGTATTGTTTGGAGTACAAAACGTTTGAAAACATTTTAAAAGTATGTGTCTTTGCGAGATGTTTACGTTGATCGTTTCGTTTGTTTTCGTTCGCTGAGTCAGAGTATGTCGGTCGAAGTCCTTTCTCCTGTTGCTCGTCAGCTTAATGGGGAAGTCAATGTTGCTGGTTCATATATACTATACCAAAGTATAGTATATTTACTAATTTTACAAACATAACATACGTATGTCATTTTTGTCTGTTATTTTCAGTACTCATTATAATTTTATTTTTTTGCAATTGTTGCTTTTGCACGTGGACATTATTATCATTCCATATGTCATTAATTTCTTTTCCAAGATACTTGTTTTTTGCGACTTACTTTTTTTTAGTGGTCTCTAGTAATTTTGGACAGATTGTTCATGATAATATTTTGCTACGTTCATTTTTGGCTACACTAAGTGAAAAATAGAATGTTGGCCATTTAAATTGTCGTAGTTTTATTCTCACTTCAAGATCTGCTCAGATGTCTGAAGTGATAAATATTTGTGAAAATAGTCTTTTACACGTGATAGGGGTAAGCGAAACATGGCTTAAGCCATGGGTTCTCTCAAAATGGGTTGAGTTATCGGGCTATAAATGTTGTCGAAATGATCGCCCTATTCAAAATGTTGAGGCTTTTGAGCGTGGTTTGGTGGTTCGGTATTCTGATGTCATTATTATGGGTGACTTCAATAATGATCTCTCCTCATTGAATACTTCGGTAGACTCGGTGTGACAATAAGGCACAATATGCACCCAACTAATTTAAGTGGTGCTCACAGCTCTACATCACTCTTGGACTTTTTTGCCCTCAGTAATGTTGCATCTGTTGTTTTTTCTAATCAGTTTATTTGAACAGGCATCACGGACCATGCATTTATTTTTATTTCAGTGGGTATTTCCGTGACATGTGTGGATCGGTTTCATGAATTTATTGATTATAATACTGTTGATCAAAATGATTTGAACGATGCTATATCGCTTTTGATTTTTCTCCAATAAACTAGAATAATGTCAATGAGCAGTGGGCATATTTATTTTCATGTTTCAATCTGTTACTTTCTATATCAGAAATATGGATAATGAATGGTATTTGTCCTCAGACATTTCTTACTATGCCTCAATTAGAGGCACTGCCTTTAAGCAGCAACAGGAAGTAAGATGATGGGGAAAAATCCTGTAAAGCCAGAAATTAAGCGAAAGCTGTTGTACGAAAGGCTAAAAGTGTTGCTCATGCGTCTTTGTTTGAAGATCTTCGAAGCAGTAAAGAGCTCTGGAGTGTTCTTAAGTCTAAGGGGCATTCCTCTAATAAATCCTATGATTATTGTGACAATGTTAATGATTTGAATGAACAGTTTGCTCAGAATCAACTTGATAGTCGTTATACTATGCATGATATATTGATGATGATGTTGGTGGTTTTCGTTTTCGCTGTGTTGATGCTGCGGAATTGCAGGGATCGAGTGCTGCAATAAAGTCCAATGCAGCGGGTTTGGATGAGTTTTCTTTGAAAGTATTTAAAAGTAGTTTTCCCTTGATTTCCTCTCAATATCTTAGCTTGATTAACTCCATATTAACAACTTCTGCTTTTCCTGAAGCCTGGAAATTAGCAAAAATTATTCCAGTCAAGAAGAAAAATGTTGTTGGTGGATTGCAAGAATTTCGTCCGATATCTATGCTACCCATATATTCTAAAGTTGTTGAGCACATTTTGAAGTTGCAAATTTTGTTTCATTTGCATAGCAGCAAATTGCCAAATGATGCGCAGTATTGCTTTAGAAGAAATAGAAGTACTTCTTCTCTTTTACTTGGGGCCAATTTCGGTAATTCCTGGTCCTTTCTCCTTCTGCGGCTTGACTTGGAGAAGGCCTTCGACCATGTGGATCATATGAGGCTGGTGCGTAAATTGCATTTGCTGTATAGTTTTTCGGTCACTGCGTGCTCACTGTTATCTTCCTACTTGTCTGGTAAGTTACAGTTGGTTTATGCTAATAATAGTATTAGCTCTATTTTGCCAGTGAGGAGTGGGGTTCCTCTGTAGTGGGTGTTGGGGCCTCTTCTATTCATATTGTTTCTTGATGACCTTTTTTCTGGTATGCATTTTTTGTGTGAGCCTTTTGCGTTTGCTGATGTTCAGTGGTTATTCAAAGAAGATACTCGCTTCGAATCTGTAATTCAATCAAAGATTGACTGCACCATGAATGTTTTGTTAGGTTGGATGAACAATAATCTGTGTGTTAACCCGGCAAAGACTAAAGCGCATTTGTTCGCCACGTTTAATAATAGAGACGTATCTGTTGTGTATAACAATATAAATATTAAGTGTGTTTCTAAGATGATGTGTTTGGGGGATCTCCTTGGGTTTTGGAAGTCACATTAGTATCGTGGTATCCCAGATGAATTCTTCCTTGCGTGGTTTGTGCACTACAGACATGGCTCTACCTTTTTCTGTTAAGAAGCGTTTGGTCGATGATTTAGTCGTGCCACCGTTTCATTATTGTTTGTAGGTGTATTCCGGCACAAATTTGAGTCATATGCATCTAATTCAATTGGCAGTCAATCGGATTGTTCGGGCAGGGCCGACTTTATGACACCCTACACCACTTTGCTAATTTAGTAGAGTTCCACATAACAATTAAAAATTGTTATGGGAGAATTCAATCATACACGCTATGATTATAATTTAAAGTTCAAGGGAATAAATTTGCCGAAGCATTTGTATCTTTTAAATTCGGACTTGTATTGAATATTTGGTGCACAATTAATTTGAAATCGGATAAAGATATTGTTACGTTCTTGGATTTTACTTAATCCCGTGTAGACGTTGTTTTATTTCCCAATACAGCTCGTACCAAATAAAACGCGGGTTCTTTCGGATTACGATTATTACAATGATTTTATTCACACAACTTTACTTTGCACTTTACTTTACTCGACGGTTTCAATTCGCGATCTGATTCACAACTGACTAACTGCCTTTCCATTTCCCCTATTTATATGAGCCTCGCCTGTCGCTACAGAAGTTTCTAGACGATCTGGTAACGCCTAGATTACGAACAATCTACCAATGCAACGAACACATACAAACTTACATTGAGTGAACAATAACAACAACACATACAAACTTACATTGAGTGAACAATAACAACAACACATACACAGGCGTGGGGGTAACAAAGAAAGAGGAATTAAGCGATCATCAATGATGACGTTTAACAAGAATTGTACGTCAGCAACAAAATAGAAAATGAAAGAGGAAATGGAAGGATGTAGAAAAATCTATACAGTAGTTGTTGTTGTGAAGTTATTCAAATAAACTGCGTAGTAGAAATTTACGTTACAATTCAAATTCTTAAATTAACGGAATTCATCTAAATTAACTTAAATCTAAAGTTATATTCGTAACATTGCCCCCCGCTTAAGCCTGTTCGTCCCGAATAGGCACAGTTCCCGTTCCGTAGGGGGTCAGTCGCTCCAAATGTACAACTTTCATCTTCGACCTGGGACTGTCGCTCCTCTGGATGCGATAAACGACGTCATTTATTTTCGTGACAATCTTGTAGGGTCCTTCCCAGTGCGTTTGTAATTTGGGGCATAGTCCTTTCTTTCGTTGTGGGTTGAACAATAGTACAAGTTGCCCTTCTTGA